GGTGCTCCAAGAACACGGACAAGTACATTGAGCGCATGCTCAAGGACGTCCACCCGCCGGGCAACTTCCGCATCTACGGCGCCGTCCAGAACAACCCCGCGTTCGCCACGGCGTTCAACTGCCCTGTCAACTCGGCCATGAACCCGACCAAGAAGTGTTACCTCTGGGAGTAAGCGATAGGTCCTTCATGTATCTAACTTTTACTAAAAAAGTATTGTCCACATTTTTGATCAACTCGTTGCCAATCTTGAAAGTGAGAGCTGGGTCTGCCCTTCGGAAACATTAAAACGTGTCGTACATCGATCCAGAAAATGTTCCTTGATCCTGTATCGGACACGACAATGCAATAGGCGTCTCTGCGGCCCGGCTCGAGCCGTGGAGCCGACGGCTTGGTCGGTTTTGCCCCTCACACTCCATTTTTCGAGGCGGCTTGAAGCCGAGCCGAGCAGGACCGTGGAGACGCCTACAATGCACATAACATCCAGTATAGTATCTGGGATACGATTAAATACTCTTACCTTAGAGCCTTTACACCAAGCGTATGGACACCACGCAAAGGCCACGAGACGCGAGTGCTTGGCGTTCCAGTAGTCGTACACATCCCGCTTCACCTTGGGCTCGCGACCGGACGGCGCGGACTCGAGTGCGATGTTGGCCTTGGCGAGCACGTCTTTCATGTGTGCTGCATCGTACCAATGCATTTGAATTCTCACCCAGCGCAGCACTGGAAAAGTGGTCGTGAGGCTCGTGACAAGCGTTGCGAGCCCTCGGTGGAGGTGCTCTGAAGGCGGAGCGCGCGTAGGGCACGGAGCATGCGCTAGCCACTGCAAGGCCTCCAAATCGGGGGCTTGCACGTCGAGATACTGGAGCCTGGAGCAGTCGCGCAGCTGTTGCGCGATGGCCGATCCGTTCTCGTTGGGCAGTGTTTTTTGCTAAAGTTGCTGCAGCGAGACAAGCCGCGCCAGGAGCTCAAAGAGGCGCGACCACATCTCGGGTGCGTCACTAATTAGCCACAAGCGCACCGCCACAAATCGACCCATGGCCAAATGCACCCGCGGGGCGCTGGCCGCATGCAGAAGGAGGTAGCCCTCTAAGTCCGCCGCGGCGGCGAAGGCAGCATGCCACAAAACTGACGCACGTTCTCGGGGATGCAGTCTTGCAGCACGATTTGCTCGCCATTGGCCCGTGCATCGACCGTTCGCAACACGTGTGCAATCTTGATACTGGTCAAGTTGTCTTCGAGGCGGACGCTGCGCAGACCGCGCGGCAGCGTTCCTTGCTGTTAGAACGGGGATGCCGTTGGTCGTACGATGGCGGCAGGCGAGTTACCAACAACCGGTGGAAATCCAAATTGAGTGTCATAAATATCAGTGAGTATTTTGAGCTAGCTATTGTTCCATCGGCGTCAATAGCTTCTCGACTGACTGGTTGCTAGATCTGGAAGGTCGCGTCGAAGAGTTTCCGTTCGAGAGGTCGCATCGGTTTCACTCGCGTCTTTTGGCGCTCCAACACTTGTTGCAGTAAGACATCACCGACAATCGGTATATTCTCAAGGACAAAGGTCCCAGAGACTCGAGCAAGATGCAATCGCACGGCACAAGACCATTGCAACCTCGTCCGTCAGGTGAGGCAACGTGGTTTGGACGAGATAGAGGCGCCGGCAACGAGCATGTCTGCAATGGCGGCTGCGACCGATGCGGGAAAGTGTCCACGTAGTGTCAAGTCCGAGAGGTCGTTCAAGATCATCGAGATTCCAGACGCTGCGTGCTCGTCGCGGCTGCACAAGTCGATGCTGCGCAGACGCTCTACGTCTGGATCGCCGACGGGGATGTTTTCGGCTTTGGCGGCGTCGCGCCACCGATGACGACGGACGCGATGGTCATGGGTACTAGTACCTAGAAAGGGCGTGGCTCTCCGTGCGTACTTGATGTGACGTCCACGCCGCTGGCACCGTGACCGTGACATGGTCGACGACGGGCTGTAGCCGAAGCAAGACTTGCACATCGCCGACTACCTCGACCCAACGCTAGCGTCAATCGCGATGGAGTGGCGTAGATGTTGCAGGATCTGGTCGGTGGGCGATCTGAGGGCCCAGATCTCGGGCCGTGCAACGTCGACGCTGGGCGTCGGGAGCAGGACGTGGAGCGCGGTCATCGCCGGTGGCATGGCTAGAAGCGCTGCTCGTAGCTGCTTCAAGGTCCACTGGTGCGCAACGAAGCTCGCAATGCGCTCGATGAGCTCGGGCGTCGAGCTCACGGCAGATGCATTGCGCTGTGGCCGGACATTATGATTGGGCAATCAATTTGTCTAATCAAGACGAGCGATTTGATCGGATTTACCGTTCATCTTTTTCCTAACCCCGTACAAGATATGTCTGTTAGGAAGGTATGTACGTCGGGAAAGGCGAGAATCGAGGGTCTCGGGTCTAGTGCAGCATTGTGGTGCGCTGGCAGTCGGCTATTTCATTAAAAGCTATCATGTCCTGTTGTCTACAGTAAATGTTATACTCTAGGTACAATTTGTGCCAC